ACAACCTTTAGGATCAACTGCCACAGGACCTAAGGGAGGAAGTGGTCTCTCTGGCTCCTTGCTCTGGCCTTTACCCTAAAACGACAACAACAACCACACTACAACTTTACAGGTTACAAAACACGTTCCCACACATTGCATCCTTCCGCTACTCCCTTTCGCCTTTAACCAAGACAAACTAGGCCAGTCGTCCGTGCGCGGGGATTTCTGGCCCCTGGAACGGTTTTCCAGCGTCTCTCACGGCCCCCATCGATTCTCCCCAGAAGCCTTCCCATCAGCCCCATAGAGCATTTCCTTCCTGCCTTGGAGACCTGACTCTGGGCTTCCACACCTTAGCGCTGGTTCGTGTCTGCTGTCGGCTCTGTATGTCCCATCCCGCAGGGGCAGAGAGCGCGTATTCATATTTGGCATCTCAGGCAGCACGAGCTAAGAAATGTCTGTGAACGACTAAGCTTGGGAGCGCGCTTGTGGGCGAGAATCTGGGGGGAGAGGCAGGAACAACGGGGATGTTTAAAGGCCTGCTCTGTGAGTTAGCTGTACCAGACCGTCCGTCCGGCACGCACGAGCTAAGCGCCGGGCCGCCCGCAGGCAGAGGTGGGTAAGCGTGAATGAGGACACGCGGTCCAGGGCCGCCGGGAGCTCGGGCCGCAGGGAGGAAGACCCACTGTTACTCTAACACACTGTGCTGACCGCGCGCAGGCGTCACTTCCTGGGAAGGGACGCCGTCGGGCCTGGGCGCCAGGGGCACCTGCCGGCTGGAGCTCGCCCTGAGAGCGGGCGCAGCGCGCTCTGGACAGAAGAGGTGAGGCAGGGAGCGCAGGCCGAAGGCGCCGCAGGACGGACGCCCGCCTCGAGGGCAGGGGTCGGGGCCCAGGGAGCCCCCCAGCCCGGGGGCAGGCGGCCGGAGCTCCCACCCCGCTATGCCGCTTCTCCCCTGCGGCCCACCCCTCCGCTTGTCGCAGGACTGCTACTGGCCTTGTTCGCCACGCCAGCTTTCTTCGGCATCTCGGCGCCCACAAGGAGCCGGGCAAAGGCCCGAGCACCAGGTCCCGCCCGGATCCGCCTCAGTCCACAGCCCAGCCAGAGCATCCTCTCCAGGGAGGCCGGCGCCGGAAACGCCCTCTGCGCGTGCGCGCACCCCGGTGGGCGCAGCTCCGGCGCAAGGGTGACGCCTGCCGACCCGCAGGAGCAATACTCGCTGCTCCACGGCCGCGCGGGCTCCCCTTGCCCTGGAAAGCGGCCCAAGAAACCGAGATGGGTAGCACCCACCGTGGGCCAGGCGCTCAGAATCCTGCAGTGTATGGAGAGGAGGCTAACTGGTGTAGGGAAGTATTTGAGCTCACTGTAAAGGAGTTACCTGGTATCTGGAGGGGCACATGACATTAAGACTTAAAAAAAAAAAAGAAAAATCGGATGGCAGCTAATAGAGTAAGAACATCCTATCAACTTTGGTCGGAGCGAAGCCAGAAGGGAGTTAACAGCTGGGACAGACGGTGGGATTCTGCGCACAGCAGGAGACTGGCCCTTCCGCAGGAAGCCTCAGGGAGACACCCTTTCCTTCCTAAGTGGGCAGCCCAGGGGTGCACACGTAGGTGTGTTTACAGGTTTGGTGGGAGGAGCTGCAGCTTCCTTCATTAGCTAAAGGAGGGAGGGTGTTGAAGGTGTGAGGTGAGTGGCTGATTTAAACGCTCAGGAAAACGGCACAGAGCTGCGCCAGTGGTCTCGGTGGGCTTGGAGGCCAGGAAACCACCAGAGCCTCCATCTGTACGCTATCGTTTTGAATGTGTTGGACCCAGCAGGCAGGAAATTGAGGGCAGACAGTTTGATTCATCCAGGTGGGTAGGAGGGGCTTCCAGGGTTACTGATGAAATGATTAAAGTGATCCAAGATCAAAAGTGGAGAAGGAATAAAAAAGATCACAGGTGGAGTCTAACTGGGTAGGGAATGAAGAGGGCTGAGAAGTTCAGTAAAATGTAACTGGCATGCAAGGGGAGCTGAGAAAGCATCGGAGGCTGCGGTCAGAGCTGATGTCTGTAGGATTTCCGAGGCAGGGCAGTTCCACACAGGGAGGTGCACGGTGTGGCCATGAGTGGCTGATGGGGTCAAGGCAATGGGAAGCCGGGCTTGGGTGGGTTGTCCACCCGACGTGGACCCCAAGACCGCTCAGTAAGAAGGCTCTGGTAGGACAAAGGGACCCAGGCATTAAACCAAAGCCATGTTTTCTTTGAAATCCGTCAAGGAATGAGGCGTAAGAGCTGAGTCAGCATTACACAGCACTGGTTAAGTCACGGCAGCCCTAGTTGGAGCCTTGACAGGCGCCGTGGAAACAGAGGGAACTCTGGTGGCAGTGAGACGTCAGTGTATCCCGCAGCTGACGGGAGGGGTGCAGGGGAGCCCTGCAGAGAACCGCTCAGCCTTTCCCAAAGGTGACTGCTGGGGAGCGGGGAGCCATCAGCCCCATTTGCCACCCAACTGTGCCCTGGACTTGTTCCTTCCATCCAAAATCTGTCTGTGGAGGGGAAAGAAGAGTGGGGTGGTGCCCAGTGGGGTGGGGAAGGGCAGGGGCTATGATCCAAACGGCAGAAAACCTATGATAAATGTCTGTACTGGTTCCTATTTTAGTTTCTTTCAGTTCCTAATAAAGTTCCATGTGAAAACTCCATCTTGTCTCGGCTTTGCCAATGCAGAACACGGGTTTTCACAGTACACAAGCTAGACGAGACAGTGAGCCGCGCAGCTCTGGGGCTGGGATGCTACGGCAGCACCCCCCTTACAAAGGACACATGCTGTCTAATGCAAGCGACAGGTCCCAGGCTTTAAATGTGAAAGGCTAGAGCAGGGAAGCAGAGACAAGAAAGCGGTTTGAAACAGATGGGACTAGAAAGGGAAGCTGAACATTAAGTTTTAGACACGCTGCACGCAGCGCACTGCATTGGAAGGCCTGGCTCTCCCTAAGGCCCTCAAGTTTGTCTATTCCAAGGCAGACCTTTTCTTTGAAGCCCTAGCTACTACTTATGTAGACCTAAGACAAAGGATACTTTGATAATGCAAATAAATAACCTCAATTTGTGGGGTAGATAGTGGAAGGATCACTTTCTACGACACAGAAAATACTTATACCCTATAGTAAATACAGATTAGCCAGGTCCTATTGTAGAGGTGGAGGAAACAGTGACATGTCAGTTTGGGACCCAGAAAAGTAGTATTTTCCCAACTCTGTGGCTTAGGAGATAGACCTGGGTTTCAATCCTGCCTCCCACCACTTTGTGAGCCTTTGAAACATGCATTTCTTTGCCTGTGAAGTGGGTATCCTAACAGTACTTACCGCACAGCGATGTTGTGAGAAACAAATGAGAATGTGTGTGAAGTACTCGGTGCAGAGTCTGGCTCACAGTGATCCCTCCGGTAGCTGTCACTGACACTAAACAACAGGGAGACGGCCGCCACGCCGCGACAGAGTAAGTAACGAGTGGTCTTCATTTTCCTAACTCCTGAAGTTACAACGGGGGAGAACAACCCGAGACCACAAAAACCCGATCAGGAGACAGGTGACAGCAGGTGTCACTGCTGCAGTTCCTGTGACTTGCTTTATGGCAGCAGCGAGGCACTGTCATTGTGTGTTGCATTACTTCTGTAAATTAAAAATACAAGTTAAACCTTGATTAACGAGAACCCACGTTCCAAAATGACACTTTACACTCAACTTTTAGAAGAAAAAAACAAATGACAAAAAAAATAATAAAGGGATAATATTTATTTTTAAAAAATTCCAGGGATGTCCCATGTCAGTAAACAGTTCCGTTTCTTGTGCCTTCTACAGCTACCTCCTGTTACAATCACTGTTCAGTGCCGCACACCGGAGGCATCTGTAATGCCTCAGACGCCAAAATCATTACCTTATCTCTAGCACACCATCCTTTTTAAGGCAGAAGTATTTTCCGTAATGGTTAGTTCAGAGTGTTTGCTGGTTAACCACAACCACACATCCCACAGACAGTCCACTTAACTGAGGTTGAGATCCATTAGGCCATGGTACCAGGGATAGGAAAAAAGTCCCTTTTCTTCAGTTCCAGAGACCTCTGCCACAAGCATATCACACTACCTCCTTTGAAATATAAAACGAAATACTACTTTAAATGAAAAAAACTTGATATCCTAAGTTACTGTTATTTAGAAAAAAATTAATTCTATTTGATAGTTAAAAGAATTGTGATTTTTAACCATCTTCCACAACTAGTTGATCCACCTTACACATACATTTTTATAGTCGCTTTCAAAAGAAAAAAGAATGTTATATAAAAATGTTGCTTTATAAAAAGTGTATAAATGTCTTTCCACCACATATACTTCCTACCCCTTCCTAACACAGCTGTTCTTATGATATTTGTTAGGCCATAAATATTAAACATATTTTACTTCTTGGATAGAAATGTGTAGGTGACAAAGTATGGTGTCACTTCAGCAGAAGCGATTCTGTTGGGTATCTTTAAAATTTCAAAGCAGTTGTTGGAAACGGTACTATTTTATTGTTTCTGGTTTCTGTGTCCCCCAGTCACCGCCTGCATCGTCACCCTCATCTGAACCCCAGGGGTGCGCAGCGGCGCCGCCACCCGGGCAGGCAGGCGTAGCGATGCGCTTCTGTGATACGGAATCTGGTCTTAGACTATACCTTTAGAGCCTTTGTTTATATCACATTATTGCAAAATTGTACAAACGCCATTTATAGTTAAAGCTGTACTGTGTAACACTCTACTATACTACTACAAAATACCCTTTTCTGTAAATGCACTGAAAATTTTCTCAGGCATTTTATGAGGCCTGTTTCTAGTGATATTCCAAATGCTAACCACCAGATTTTCAGAACTCCAAATATAAGGTCAGTTTTCTTAATTGTCTGAAATTAGTTACTTGAGTTAATAGGAATTCTATAGGAGTACTGACCATGTCATCTCATGGAAGCTTTGAAACAGGTAAACCGATATGCCCATCTCACCTAACCATTAAAATAGTTCAAACAAACCAAACCAGCCAAATAACACAAAAATCTTTCCATTATAAAACTGCTGAAAGATCACAAGTCGGGTGATCTACAAAATGATACAAGATAAAGCTGAAATAGCTGTGTTTTTTCAAACAATTAAACCCAGTTTTCTTTTCCCCTAAGGTTATAAGAAAATGGAAAATCTGCCTTTAAATTATGCAGAGATTTAAATAAGCATTTATCTATCTCATCTAAGAAACTAAAATGTTTCTTATCTTAAAATTATAAATATAACATTTGAACTTTTTTCTGTGGCCGTTTTTTTATGCCTTTCCAACTAGACTGTATGACACCATTTAGCCAAGATGCATTATAATGCTACATTATGTATAAAATATTATTTCTGGTATCTGTCCATCTTCTATTGAAGTGCCATTATTATTGCCAGGGGAACTAAAAAAGAAAAAAACAGTCTTGCTAGCAGGTGTCTCATGCACTACTTTCTTCAATCCTTTTGTGCCATAGTGGGAATCTGGACCCTAAATGAGAATAAAAGGTTCATTAGTCATTTTCCTTTAATAAACACTCAATTTAAGATGGTGGTTTATTTTGATTAATGATCTAGTATGTTGCCTTGTAGGCCCTCTATAAAATTTTATGCCAAGTCATTTAATGAAAAATGACACTTCTGCTGCACAGCTAATTAGTGATTAAAACGACTGAATAGAGGGCTCAGCTATCGGAGGACAGCGGCGGTTTAAGGAAAGAGTCGTGCCCTGGCCGGGTGGCTCGGCGGGTGGAGCGTCACCCCGATACTCGGCGGCTGTGGGTTCGATGTCTGGTGAGAGCACATACGAGAATCCACCAATGAATGCATAAATAAGCCGCTGTCTCTCTCTCTCAAAAATCATTAAATAAAAACAATTAAGAAGTTATTTTATCTCTGTCAAACAATCTCCTGCTCGAAGAGCTACTTCTTCATGAAGAACCACTTTCTTCAGAGCACAGCCGGGCCGAGCGACACATCTCTCCCCGGGCTGCCTTCCCCTCCTCCTCCGAGGCTTCCTGTCCCTGACTCTCAGCCTCTGCTGACCACACGCTCTCAGTGGCGGGGGGCGGGGGGAACCACGAGCCCCGCCGTCAGCACCGGGCGCATTCAGGACGACTTACTTTGAGGGTCGCGCACGCTGTGTAGCACACGTTGGGCAGGATCTCTATGGGTTCTTTGAACATGACCCTGAATGTGCCGGCGCTCCCATCACAACTAAATCCAGTATCATTCTGTCCCAGGGTTTGTTTTTTTTCATATTCAATTATCTATAATTTTTAAAAGAGAAGGTTAAGTTTAAAGTTAAACCAACTGAAACAAAGTTTCATAGAAAATATAAAGCCCTTAGGAAAGGCAAAATAGAACTACTACGTCTCTGTGTGTAGTAGTAGAGATCATTCTTGTCTCCTTCTCTCTAACCACCAGAAAGACGGCTTTAATCACGCTGCCGGAAAGCGGCCGTCACTCCTGGCAGTAAGGACCGGGCGACGTCGACAGCTGGGGCTGGGCTGCAGGAGAAAGGCGCTTCCGTTACAGGTGCACGGCTTGGGAACGGGTTCGTAGAATGCACGGGTCTGACGCCTGAGGGAAATGAGCCTTCACTCCTTGCTAGCTTATGTCTCATTACTAGGACATTCTAAATGTTATTTTACTGAAATTAAAATGATCTTAAGTGCAGTATTCAGACATGTAGATAAAAAAATGTGAAAATTCTGTCTTCACTTCAGTTCCACATCTGTGCCAGGCTCTAAGGGACACCTTCAAGAAGCTCCCAGTTGCTAGAAAAGACACGTAAACAATGACACTTCGGCACAGTCCCTGCAGTCGGGGTACGCGTAGGGCCTGGTGGCAGAACACAGGAAGAACTGATTTTGTGAGGAAGGAATGGAGCCCCAGAATTGAGCTTTAAAAACTCAAGTCAGAGCTCGCTGGGTTACAGGAGAAAGGTCTCCCGTGCAAGGGGACAACATGCGCTGAGGCCCGGGTCACAAACCCGTCCTTCTGCACACGTCAGATAAAACCAGGAACAGCAAGGCAGCCCAAACCCACGTGTGCCGTAAGATGAGGGCAACGGCCAGCTCTGCAGAGACAGCGACTGGCAAGGACCTCCACGGGGGCGCTCCTGGGATGCGGCCTGTCCTGCTCCTGGGTCTGGCTGCCGGTTACTCAAGAGTGTTCATTTAATGAAAGTGAGCCATGTGTACCATTTATAATACGTGCACTCTTCTCTGTGTGTATCCCAGTTCAGTAAGGAATTTTAAGGACCCGACAGCGTCCCCGCATAAAGCAGTAAGACCAGAACTTGGCTGCAGCAGCGCAGCCCACGGCAAACCACTTCACTCCCCTGGGCCGGCTTCACCTTTTAACGTGGGAGGGAACCTGCTTTGCCTTCTCCTTCAGGCTGGCATGAGAATCAAATTCTAAAGCTCCAACAACAATGACAGCACCAGACTACGCTGCAAACTCTTCGTGTGCCTCCTCTGAACCGGTGCCCACAGCCCCGTCGGGTAGGTGTCCCCACCGTCCTGGGGACGAGGCCCCAGCTGGCGGCTTCACGCAGCCTGCACACAGCCAGGCCTTGCAGGGACGCAGCTCAGGCTCGAACCCAAGCAGGCCTACCTGGCAGCACATCGGATGGTGCATGAGACTAGACATCGGGGGAAGAAAGTAAAAAGTCCTGTTTTTATCTATTTTACTCAGAGTGTTTTCATTTTATCATTTAACCCTGATGCCCTCCACCCAAGCCTGTCCGCAAGGCGTCTGGTGACGCTGGCCCCACACGCAGAACAGGAGGGACAGTGGAGGCAGATGGGGTTCCACAACCGGAGGCCGGCAATGGGGCCGTCGCGCGTTCCCAGCCTGCTGGCGTGGGCTTGCTGATCCTACTGGATAGGAACTTAGTAATATTTATAAAGAAAATTAAGTTAAGTAGGGGGTGATCATGAAAATCTTTTATACCCCTCAGAGACTTGCTCTGGTTTTTCTGTACTTAAAAAACATGGAAACAAAATTTTCTAACCTGCTTTAAAAATCTTTCAAATAAACAATTCCAGTGGGTTTTGAACCTATTTGTTAAAAATATTTAAAAAGTAACTTTCTAATTGGCAAGAGCGACAAAGTGGCGTAAGTGACATTAATGAATTTCACTATAAACCTCAGCAGAGAAGATTGAAAAGTGAGCAAGATTTCATTAGCACAGGTAATAATGCGATTCCTCCTTTTGGAACAAGGGATTTCTGAGGTAGTGAGGTATCTTTTTCAGCTGTCATTGAACCAGGTCTTTGAGTTGTGTATTTTGAAAACTAGCAATGCATTCTGATCACAAGGTTCACCAAAGTATTTACTATTCAAAATACTACATCAGTAAGATTTTAGAGAGGGCAGTTTTTCCTGCTGATAAAAGTTTTCTCATTCCTAATTTTTGTGTTCTAATTTATGTGTAATATGTAAGTACAGTATTGCATATGTGTAGTTTGTAAATAAAAGTACAATGTTGGTTATGTTTCAAAAACAGCTGGGCTGTGCACTCAAAAACATGGGGAACACTGGCTGACTGGGGGGGAAGGGAGGGGCATTCAATTTTCTTCTGGATGAGGGAACAGTGTCTATCGGAACGAAGGGAGGGGAGCAGACCCGGGGAGCAGAGCAGGGCACGGTCAGGCAGTCGGAGAGCAGAGGGTGTTCAGAGGAGCCCTGAGGAGGGAGAGTGTTAAGCCACAGAGTTCAAAGTGCCGTGAGAAATGCAGCGGTGTTTTAGGACAGTTAATGCACCACGAAAGGGCTAATGGGGCGGGAGGCGGGGCAGGGGGGCCCTTCCTGGAGAGAGAGAGGCTCCCTGTCTGTTAGTGCTTCCATGAAGGATGCCAGGACTCCAGTTTTCTGAAACCTGATTTTTAAATCATTTGTAAAACAGAACTCTCTAGGCTTAAAATGCCACTAAGGCATTCTGATTCCTTTGATAATTATACTGAAATTTGGATTTTGTCAAAACAATCTTATGGTAAAATTACAGGTTTGTTATATTTCAAGATGATATATAGTAGGGGAAAAAGTGTACCTGTATATTCACTTGATAATCCATGGGACCGTGAATAGATCCGTATAAACCAAATCCGACTATAGAGATTCTTCTGTTAACTGTGAACCTGAGAGAATGAATCAAATATAAAATAACATACATAATTCAGTAAGCATTCATATTCTAAAGGCTTATAAAGTTTTTAAAGTGTTACCCAGAGTGTCTGACTTTGCTCATAAGAAGGGACACTATCACAAATTAGGCATCCTTAGAAGTACCACCTGCTTATCAAAAAACAAAACAAAACAATTCTTTCTAGAATAAACTTTTAACTTAATGGGAACTAAAGCAGAACCTGTTCTCTGTACTACACACTTTTGAGTCAAAGGAATTTATTTAAGCTAAATACCTAGTCTTGTCGTAACGATGATTCCTGTCTAATCTGCTTGTGTATCTCCTGCATGAACACAGACGTGTCAGCCACCAGGCCTGACGCACAGCGTCCCAAACTGGGACAGGCCTTTAGCTGCACAAGGACTTACTGAGGGCCTGTCACACTGAGGGCCTGGGCCCGGCCCGGGGAAATGGCAGGCTCTGCCCCTCCTGCACGGACGGCCTAATGGAGGGCACCGGCAATCAACAAATAAAGGACTAAATCGGTGTGAATCGGGATGAGCTGTGAGGGGAGCAGGCTGTGGTCACAGGACGCCTGTGCTGGAGGCCTGGGGACAGGACCTCGGTAACAGAGGTGAAACAGACGGAGCCTTCGCGCTGGAACACCCGGCAGGTCTAGCTGGGCGCTGACAGTTAAAACCACCACTTCAGAGCGCTTCCCGCGCCAGGCACGGAGCTGCACTTCTTTACATGAATTCCTTCCTTAATCATCGTAACAGCTCTATCAATTAAGTAACGTGGTATTATTTTTATTATCCGCAGTTTTTATAGTTGAAGAAACCGAGGTTTGGAGAAACCGACGCATCCGACCGAGAACTGCGGCAGAGCTGGGACGCGACACCAAGCCGCCCCGGGCCGGACGCCTGCTCTCCCTGCGGTGCTCAACTCCCGGGACAGTGTGAGGGCTCCCTTGCCCAATTTTTAATGTAGGATTTCTATGTTCTTCTTATTATAAAAAAACAAGAAAGTCTCTTTTAAACAAATAGAAAGTGCAACTAAACAAGCGAGGAAAAATTTAAAGGACCTCTGAATCCACCATCCAGAAATAACCCCCATCTACCTGTTGGTACATTTCCTTTTCAGACTTTTTATTCTAGCTTTTAACAATGGAAGAGAGACTTTTTTTTCCTATGAACATATATTATTTTTAAAATTCTGTCAGAATATATTTTTATATATTTTTTCATGTAAAAAGGTAAAAGATCAGCACCAATGCATTATATTTAACTAACCCCTGCTTGTCAGACAATCTAGGTGACCTGCAGTTTTTGTTATTACATAACAGTATCATGACGAACGATCTTACAACTAAATCATGTTGCAGGTCTTAATTATTTCCTGAGAATAAATTCCTGGAAGTAGAATTGCTGGGGAAAATGAAAGGCATATTCTTAAGGCTTTAGCTAAACACCAAATTGATCACAACACTCTACACACACAAGAAATGAAAATCATTTCTACCTCACTCTCAGCAAACATGAGTATCTTCATTTCTTTGTGCTGCTGAGAAGCAGATGATTAACAAATTCTATTTATATTCCTCTCATTATTAATGAGTTGATGCATTTGTCCATGTTTCCTGTCTACTGGATTTTCTCCTTAATGATATACCCGCTCATGTTGTCCCATTTTTCTCTGAAAGACGATGTTTTATGTAGTTATTTGTGCTTTGTCAATAATATCCATTACAAAGGGCTTCCTGTTTGCCATTTATCTAACTTTACGGTGGTTTTGGGCATAAAAATTTTGAATTCTTTGTAGTTGATTTATGATCTATGCCAAGTTTAAAGAGGTCTATCTCATCCTCATAATAGAGTCTCTTGTTCCAGCACTTCCATGGTTTTGTTTTTTTATGTTAAAATTTTAATTTATATAATTATTGGTAGATGGAAAAAGTAAGGATTTTTTATGTTCCCAGTAGCTAACCTTTCCCTTACAATCTAAAAGCTCATTTATGTTAAGTTTCTGAACTCTGTAGATTCTTCCCCATGATACTATTGTTCATAGCTTTACAATATTTACTATGTTTGACCCAAATCACGCTTTTAAAAAAATAAACATTTACTCTTCCAGATAACCCTTAGAATAGTTTTGCTAAGCCACCCTCCCCCCTCAAAACACGTGACCTCAGAGAGGAACTGGTGACGTCCGCTGGTCGGTTTGGAACGACACCGTCTGATTCCCGTCCCAGCTCTCCGTTCTTTGTAACAGCACCATATTGTACCTTTCTGACAGGATTTAATCCCACTTATTTTATGTTACTTGTTACTATTCTAAGTAGAATCTATTTTTACTCAATAGTGTAACTGAAAATTTAAACGTTTTTATTTTTGTGTTGCTGCAAAACATAACAAAATGTACCATCTTAAACATTTTAAGCGTAGGGTTCAGTGGCCATCACGACCACCCATCTCTGAAATCAATTTTGATGACATAGAGGGACATCGCTGGTTTCTGCATATGTATTTTATAAGTGGTCACTACTCTCTTATTGGTTCTAACACATTTTTACTGAGTCTAAGGATGCTCAGGTAGACCGGCTGTTCTCAAAAGCCACAGGAGGCTTGTCTTTCAAAGGCCCCGGGGTGGCCACTGCGAGCGGGCCCAGGGACACCAGATCCACTGCAGTGCTTGGGACAGGTCCCCAAAAAGAGAGTCCCAGCTTTCAGGTGTCCTGTCAGAATTCGCGTGGCGAACACCTGCTTACAGCGACGAGGCCGGACACTGCCAAGAGCAGCAAGGCGAGCAGGCCGCCCTTTCCCGAGGGTCACTGGTCCGTCGCCGCACAGCGGTGTTCCAGGCCTCGTCTATTAATGACTGTACGTGGAACGAAGGTGACATTCCATCAGAAGTCATTTTGATTTCTACTAAAATAATCAAATTGTTTTTCTTCTTTGATCTGCTACTGTGGTAAATTATATCAATATATTTCCTAATACTGAGACATTCTTTCAATCTACAAACAAATTCTATTTGTTCATACAGTATTACTTTTCCACGGAACTGCCAAGAGTCAGTATGCTAACATTTTACAAAGAACTTCTTCCTCTGTGTAAGTGCAACTGATCTACAAATTTTTTATCTTGTCAGATTCCTGTGTTAAGGGTTACAGTTCTTTCAATAATTAACCAATAAGCATTTTCTTCTTTTAATGATCAAGGAAATGATCTGTTCCTTGAAGGTTTGATAAGACTCACCTGTAAAAACCACTTTGTGAAGGGACAGTTCTTTGATAACTTTTAATTCCTTCCATGGTAATGGGTCTATTCAGGCTTTCTTCTTCAGTCAATTTTGATAATTTATATTTGCCTATAAAATGATCCATTCCATCAAGATGTTCAATTTATTAACACAGAGTAAAGTAGAATTAAAATAAAAATCTCCTTAGTATATGGTTATACTCCCATTATTTCTAAATGTAAGTTTGTTTTCTTTGTTACCTTTCCCGGAGGTTTATTTATTTTATTGGTCTGTTTAAGGAACCAGCTTATGGGTTTATTGATTCTATTATTTTTAAATCATTAATTTCTAAACTTACCTATTTCCTTTCTCTCTCTTTTTTTAGCTCTTCACTTTCTAGCTACTTCAGTTGAATGCTTAAATTATTTGTACTCTAATTTATTTAGTAAAAGTAGTCTATTATTATTTTTTGTGTGCGACACTGTTTACTTTGTCCTTCATGGGTTTCAGATATAGTATTCTCATTGTGAATGATTACTGAATAATCCACAAATGCATTTTTAATTTCCATTTTATTCCAATATTTATAAGGCTCCTTATCCCCTAGGAGTCCCATTTTTGACAAATTTGTTATTAGTTTCTAGCTTTTACAAAAGTGCTGTTAAGTGAAAACTGGCTTTATAAAAACTGGTTCTTATTCTATTTTGACATTTAACCTGAAGAAACACAACAGAACAAAGATAAATTCCTAACAAGATTATACAAATGCATCTTTTAAGATGTTTTTTCTTCTTTCAAAGCTTTTATAAATGTATATACTGAGATATTTTCCATGCAATGTCTGCGTAAAGAAACAGCTCACACTGAACAGAGTAAAACTAAATGCATTAAGTGAATTGCAGCCTTAAAACGCCAAAAACAGCCTTTGACCCATTACGGTCGCAACCTCAGCTCACAATGCAAACAGAGTCCCTGTGACAGAAGGCCCAGTCCAATCCCTTCTTCCTTCACTTGTCGCCTCCTAATTCAGCGAGGAGGCTGGTGTGCCTCACGGGCTTTTGATTCTTGTTTTAAGGGATAAGCGTGTTAAACAGAGGGTAAAATAAAATGTGGGTTAATTACCTCCCCCGACAGGAGGACAGAAGCCGCCCCAGCCCACTGCCGAGTCACACTTCGTCAGGTACCTGATTCGGTCACTCGTGCCGCTGTAACCCCAACGGCTCTCGACTTGCTGGAACCGGTTGATGCAGCATTCCTTCCCCCGGAGGCAGCACCTCGGCCGATCGATGTAGTCGACTCGGGGTTTAGGGTTGACGGTAAAATGAAGGAAGAGATTTACCACTTCACGGTCTGACAAAATTCCAGACTGAGCAGGACCTGTAGAAATTAAAATGTAAACCTCAATAAAAGCACCATAATTCCTGATTTTGTAATACTCCACGTAATAATGTGAGTTCAAATCTGGAAGATGTAAAGCAGCAATGAGACAGACAAATCTTAGCACATACAATTTTAGCATATACAGGGTCCGGCCAAAGTAACGCCTGCTTCAGGGTGGTTGATGGGGTAATAATATGGGTGTAATAATTTATAGTTTCAATTTGAACATGTCACCTAAAATGTCATATGGTGTGCGTGAGTGTGTTATTGTTGTTACCGAACTACATGCTTATGATTCTGTAATATAAGATTTTGTAATGAAAAAAGGGGCATTATTTGTGCCAGACCCAGTATTTCAAGTTTTTCTAAATCCATTTGGGGTTAATCTAATAAAATGTGTTAAAATTGTTAATAAATATAAATAAATAAATAAAATCATGAATTAATCAAAGCTTGGATGAAAGCCTGGATTTTTCTACCCCCTCGCTTACCCTGAGTACCATAGACTTTTGGCACCAGAAAGAGGAGGGCTCCTTCCCTACGGCGGGACTGGGCTTCCAACGGCAGCCACAACTACTGTTCGCTCTCCCCCTACCTCACACCTGTCTGAGCTCATGGTGTGAACAATGCAATATAATTAGAGGTGGAAATGGACAGAATGGGGCTTCCCCTTGGGGTTCAGAAATCAGCAGAGGCGAGGAGCTAACACTGGAAGAGCCGTGAAGGCCGCATACATATCTCGAGTCCCCCATCCGCTGTCTCTGAGGAAAGAAATATTGCAACCCACTTAGCTTATCCAGGAATAAAGGCTGTTCCTCACAGAAGGGGCTGGGAGAACCCTCCCCAGGCTGGTTAAAGACTATCCAGAAAAAGAGACTGCAAAACTAAATAAAAAATTAAAAAACTGCAAAAATAAATAGCTGATAAAGTAGAAACTGGGGTTAGGAAGTCATAAAGTCAGATTTTAATGAAAAACCCTGATTTTTAAACATTACTAGTGTTCCTGAAGAACAAACAGTAAGAAATAATATAATGCCATAATTCAAGACTATCATAAAATATCCCTTGTTGAAAAAAAGTCTTGAGGTCATGAAAAACATTCTCAGATATGCACCAGATACCTACTTGAAGAAAGCAATCAGAGACACATTCCAGTTAACAGAGGAGTGAGTCAAAATAAAGAATTCAAGAGGGTCTGTCATAAAAGAACTGGCAGTGAGCACTGGAAGCAATACAACCTAGAGCTGCGCCCACTGCAGGAACTGTACTATTGGGGTACAGAATGTGTGCGCGCCATCAGGGACCACGAAGTGGTCTGAACGGCTGAAAGAAAGACATCCCATCCTAACATTCCCGCTTAAACAGGGAAGGTCAATAGTATTATTTTACTATGAAATGGAGACTTAAGAAAATGGAGGGGGGGAAAGTAAATGCAAAATTAATAATTTCCAAATCTCTAGATTGAAAATAAAGCAAACACACAATAGCAAAACAGAGAAAATAAAGGGAACTCTCCATTAAGACATTTTTAGAAAGATAATTTGGAGAAAAGGATTATTTGACTATAAAAATAGTAAGGCAAGCTGTCCATAGGACAGAACAGCCTGTGTCACAGAACAGCCATGGAGGAAATGCGTAATAGCACAGCTGTTGCAAGTGAACAGAGAAGGGAGGCATCAGTGCCCGAGAAGGGACAGGCGTGGAGGCGAAGCCCTGCGTCTGCCGCCACCCGCCCCCACGTGGGACAGGCGCGGCTCTGCTTCATGGGGCACAGCTGCCCAGCAGAAACTGGCAGCCGCAAACTGTGGGGTTCTCACTGGACTGAGGCCAAACTGGAATTCAAAGCCACCAAGGCAGCCGGATGGCAATCCCCCAGCAAGGGTGAAAAATACGACCAGCATTTAGTGCACAATTTCTGCGTTTGCTGATTCCTAAGTTATGCACAAGCAGGAAGCTGAGACCAAAGAACCAAGCAGAAAGGAGCTAAGAGACTAAAGCGTTAAACAGAAATTCTAGGTGTTTTATAAACACTATTACCTTAGGCAAGGCACTTAACCACTCTCAGGTTCAGTTCTCTAACCCATAAAATATCTACTTTCTATGTATTTAAATTTTAAAATATATTATATGACCTATATTCTTATCTTGAAGGACTGTTAGAATTAAATAAAATTATACATACAAATGCACATACATATATCATGTAACCAGAAGAGTGACAAGTCCTCAGTAAGTAACGGCTTCTTTTCCTCTCTTGGGCAGGGGACTGACCACTCAAACAGTTGCTAAAAGATTTTGGTCAAGTTAGAGCCTTACCCGCTGCAAACTCCTCGATGGTCATCAGTGGGAACCGGATCAAGGACAGTGCTTTTCCTAGAACTTTCTGTTTGTTTCCAAAAGTCACAGGCAATTGTTGTCTTTGACATTCTGCTTCTGCCCATCGTACAATAGCTCCAAAAAGTCGGCTCTCTCTAATACTAAGTGTGTCTCTTTCTAGAACTGCGCAGAGTGTGTCTACAGGTAAAATACAATAAATAAATTAGAAATGTCTCGCTCTTTCATGAAACAATACTGACAAACTTGCTTATATTAAGTTTTCAAATCTCAAAAAAAAAAGGTTAGATACGTAAAACTACAGACCATACTTTATTTTTTAAAAATTCTGTTCCGCAATGGTCCACACATTCAGAGTAAAACCACACATTTCCTTGCCTTGCCTTTCCCTTCCTCTACATACACGTCTTCATGTGGTTCCCTTGCCTCTAATGCCCCCGCTTCCTTATCCAACTATTCATCATCGGAACCTCCTCTGCCAAGATTTTCCTAACACTACTCCAATCTGAGGTGACCTCTTCTTATTTTCCATTTGCATAGTAGTTATTTTCTATATATCTAATGCAGAAAAGGCAAAAATCACATTTTATTCTATGCCATCTCTCCTACTAATGTCTTAAATCTTAACTCTCACATATTTGTTCCTTGATTCTCCAAAGAGATGATAGTTTCCTTAAAAAAATTACATCTTATCTTTCTTTGGATTTCTTTTATTTCTTTTTCTTTTTTTACAGGACCCTTGTATATATAATGCTGTGCATATGTGAGCAGTCAACGAATATTCTAAGATTTGACATCTTTTAAAAAGCAATGAGGTAGGTAAAGATTTTCAGGAACGTATCACCAAAATAAAAAAAAAGCCAAAATCTAAAAGGGGTAGACTTAGATCATTTGGGGAAAAAGCCCGAACGGGAAACCCACCGGCCCACCAAGACGGGCAGGCCGGGCCTCCCTGTGCGCGCAGGCGGCGCCCGAGCCCGCGGCGGACTCACCGATGTCGATGTCGGTGAACCCCTCGGCGCTGATCGCGTCCGTTGTGCTTTTGTCTATGGTGTCCAGGCAGAGGCTGGCGAGCTGAGGCTCATCAAAGAGCCGAGCCTGAACACAGGGAAAGACCGTGATTTTGTTGTCATAGTTATTTTATCTTCAGGCTGTGTATATTCAAAGTTCATACTGCAAACAGTAATAATGGCTAATTATGTAAAACCACCTACTTAAAATATAGTATAACATCTAGACAGTCTTAAAACTTTTCACTCCACAATCAGAAATAAAAAGCTAACAGCACAAATGTTCTGCTATGATACCAAGTTCACATCATCACTACCAAGCCTGTCATCTGCTTATCTATACATTGACCACTTTCTAATGCATTACTTATTTTAATCATTAACCAACACCCTATGTTAGATAAGGGAGACATTCCTATCCAATTTGCCAGATGAGGACAGAGACTCAGAGAGGTGTTGTGACTTGCCTAATATCATGCTAGTTATGTTGCAAAGCCACTATGTAAAGCCAAGCCTTACGATCATTTCACTAAACACAATCAATTGTTCAGTATACTGGTACAAACAGATTCCCCCCCCCGCCCCATTTCCTGTTTTAATTGATGGGAGAAAATAAAGTACAAGACTTTTAGAGTATCAAGGCTCTGGGAAGCTAACCAAAAACTAGGCCTAACGACAGAAAAGCAAATAAATAAATTCATGTGATTTCATGATGGAATATTATACAACAAGAATGAAAATCTACAACTATTCACAGCAATATGAACAAATCCCACAAACATAATGGTAAGCCAAAGAAGTCAAGTATATACTGGACAAAACAATACAGGCTATATGATTCCAGCAAAGCTAGTGTAGGCCTTAAGAAATCAAGGTTATATGCACTTTATCAGAACGCATATTATGATTTTTTTAAGTTAAAAAGCTGAAGGGGCTGGGAGTGGAATCTAAATGCAAATGAGATTTTAAAAAACCATAACACTGAAAAAGGACATGTGATGATAGGTGTGCCAATCTTTCATTCCAGCCTGGCATCAGCTGTTTAATCCAGCAGCAGGCATGAACAGCGCATGCACAGCGCTATCCGTGCTGGGCGGTGCGGAAACCTGCCGAGAATACTGCCTATTGGTTGACTGCACCATACATGTCGCCAGTATTCCGTGCGGCTGAGGACTCTTCATTTAATTTTAAAGTGTAACTCATTTTCAAAGGACTCGATAACTCAGATGCTACTGAACAAAAGATAAACATACTTAAACTTTTTAAAAAATTTTTTAAAAATTTTTAAAAGTTATCTGTTTTATAGGGAAGAGATGAATACATTAAACACACTGGCTTATATTTTAGGTACACAGATCTAACATATGATTCATAATTATATTTATACATATAAAAACACATATATATTTTAATCAGTAGAACATCTCTTAAAATTACAAAATGCTCAAAAATGTTTGTAAATGCTCTTCTTAGATTATATACCAAGCTTGTTTATGTTAATTTGTTTAGTCAAATTTTTAATAAATTTTAGCCGTAAATAGAAATACATATCTGTATAATAGAATAAATTACGTATATAGGTATATATAAGTGGGATAATAATGTCTGCCTTATATAACCTACAGGGTTCATAAGTAATGTATTGGAAAGTGGGCTATGTATATTTTATATTACGTGTGTGTGTGTGTGTGTGTGTGAGTGTGTATATATATATATATATATATATATATATATATATATGGAGGGGCCTGAACCATTTGAGAATAAATTACATACATTTATAACATTTACCCTTAAATATTTCAATATGTATTCCTAAGAGTAAGAACATTCTCTTATTAGTGTTAATTTTGGTAAATGACAATACAGTATTTTTATCTACTACCTGTACAGTTTTGTCAGTTGACCCAATAATGTTTTTATAACACTTATCCTTCTAGCATAGGATCACGTGTAGGATCATAGTTCATACATTTTTAAAATGTGACAAATAGTACATTTTTAACAAGTGAAATTCTAATATGCGCAAATATATTAACGGCCAACTCAACTATGTTTTTAGTGTTCACGCAAAAATTCACCTTTCACTCGAGGAAAAATAACTTTGTGTAAGAACTGCCGTATTCAGGGCAGTCCGAGCCCCGTCACGCAGGTTACACAGGCAGTATCGAGCTTCCTGTGCAATCTGCCGCCACCGCCCAGAGTCTGGCATCAGCTCTGACAAAACAGCCCTCTGGCCGCACCACCTCACACCGAGTGTTCTTCCCGTGTAAATCGGCGGGCGCGGTGCCCCGGCCCTTTGTGTCAGAGGGGCGCTGGGTCCTCTCCAGGGAATGAACAGGCTCATTTCAAGTGACTCCCTTGGCAGGAACAGGAAGTTCACATGACAGTTTGTTAACTAATTCACAGGACACCACCAATGAAAACTCTGGAGTCCTGTTAGGCTCTCAGACCAACAAGGCACTGAGAAGGTCCTTTTCTGTCCCACGGCGATCTTTGTTAACCCCCGTTAGGCCAAGTGTGGTCCAGAAACACCATCCGGAAGCCTGTTAGAAATGCACTCTCAGGCCCTACCGCTCACCTACTGAACTAGCAAGTGTATTTTAATTGTCAAAGTTTAATTTATTGGTTTCTGAATTTGAAGACTGAACTTTTAAAATAAAGTAGTTACGTGGTCGTCTCTATACATAATAAAACCCCTTGGACCATAAAGAATTTTATGAATATCAACTTTATTAATAGATTTTCATCACAATTTCAAAAAAGGAAAACATGCAGGAAGATCAGTTATTAGTTGTATGATCTTGGTCAAGTTATGCCACCTCTCTGCGCCTCACATGCTTCATCTATACAATGGGAGCAATAAGAAAACCTTTACCTAGAACACTTACCCCTTCTGAAGTTCTTGTGACAACTGAGTAACTAGTTCATGCATGTGAACTACTAAGAATGGTGCCTGACACACAATAACCACTCAGCTGACACTGTTGTTATTAGCAATAAGAACTACTGGTTCAAGGCTGTACCTCTCTAAGCTTCCATTTTTTCATCTTTGAAATCGGGATAATAATAGGCAGCAATGTAACAGCTGTAATTAGGAGTAAAGGTGATAATACACACAAAGGGACCGGCTTGGCGTCTGGCACACTCTATATATAGACACGGAGTTCAGTGATTACGTCCAGGAAGGTGACATCAGCATGTTCTTTATTCTGTAACTACGAATACTTCTGGACAATTAGACTTTTTAAAAAGGGGCCGTCGGACATTCCCTACACGGCAGGATGGCCGCAGAACAGGGCAACGTCGGCTCTGGGCCCCGGCGCAGAGACTGGCCGGTGGTGAGATTTTCAGCAGGTGATTGATTAGCCCAGGTTTTACTTTTTCCATTTGGAAAATGAAAGCGTTGAGCTAGGGGGCATCGTGATTATTTCCAGTAATAATATCCGAAAGGATTGTGTGTTATCGGCCTCGTTTTCTCCCCCTCCTTTTAACTTGCTTACTTCTGTAAACAAGGTCACATTTGAGGTACTGGGGACGAGGAGTTCAGCCCATCGATTTTGGAGGATACAACGGAACCCGTAACACATGGCCAGAGGCTAGCTTAGAATTTTTTTTAAAAATTCATACAAGGGTATTATAACCTTAAAAAATCAATTTATTTATCTCTAACATATATAGCTCAGCTTACAGGCATTTAACAAATGCTAAATAGTGTATGTTAAGGACTGCTTAACGGTTCCACAGATGTGTTCCACTTGTAAAAATTCATCAGATGGTACCACTTACAATATGTGTACTTTTCCTGTACTTAGTGAAAACTTTTTTAAATGTCAGAGGAAGACTATTTCATATAAGCCTTCAATTTTAACTCCCCGAAGAGTGGGTCAGCAAGCTTACAGATACAAGTCCAAAGACAGTAAATTCTTGAACTTTTCGAGACTGGTAATACTCAGTACCTATTCCAGATCCAACAAAAACTGAGAACAAAAATGGTCAGAAAACTTCATGCTACCATTCTCTCAATCATAGCTGGAACCACGCTGGACCCTAATCCCAACTCCAGTCCTAAATAACTGCGTAACTTTGAGTCAGAGCACCCTACTCATCATATTTCTCTACTTGTATGACAATGTATTAACTCTAATTCCTTTTCTGTTCTAAAACCATTTCAATCTGATATATTTCCCTGAACGGAACTGTAAAAGTAATTACATTTACTTTAAAATAATGATCTAGAACTAATTCAACAAGAAATATTAAACATTCATATACAGTTGCATTCAATTTTTCAAGCTACAATGGTACGTTCCTTAGGTACATTGACTTACCTGGGTAAGTAACATAAAGGCATTATCTGCCCGAAGATGTTTGGTCAGAAACTCCACACAGTGTGCTTCCAAGGCTGGGACTGCGTATTTCTTAGCAGTATAAAGAGTGGTCATAACTGTCTCTGGGCCGATTTGAACTTCATCTGAATACAGAAATCTGGAAAGCAATTGGGAATTGCAGAGCTGGTCGGTAACGGTTCAGATAAGCAAGCAATCCATCAACGTTCAACCTCTGGGGAATAGTTTTAAGAGACAACGAGCAACCTGAAAACCTGAAACGTGCACCGGGACTCCAGGGCCCTTGCCCACACATCGTCTCATTGTGTTCTCACCTGATCCCAGAGCCCGATCCGGAGAGGAAGGCAGCCTCCCCGTCTGACAGAGGAAAGTGAAGAGGAAAAGGACCTCCCTCCTAATTTGCGCTTCTTTAATTAGTAATGAGGTTAAATATTCTGTTAATTAGCTGTAATTTCCTTCCTTTCCCCAAACCATCTTTCCTACTTGGTGTGAATCTGTATTCGATTCCCTATTGATCTGATTGAGCTGTGGGCTGTCCGGACTATCGACCTGTTCCACCGACCTACCTGTCTCGTCTTGGCCTGGGTACCGCCCAAGACGGCGCTGCTGTCATAGCAACGCAGTGGGCTTGGGCAGCTCCCACCAGCCGGCCTGGGAGGGGCGTGGGCTCCACTCCCTCCGGCCAGTTACTTGCCTTTTCTGGGCCTCGGTCCCCTTTGCAAAATTGTGGAACACAATCCCTATACTTCCCTAAGTGGACTTTGTTAATAATAATGCCAGACTGGTCATTCCCTTCCGTAAAACAAAATTAATCAGGAGTCGGTCGAACCCAAACAGTCAAGACGCAAAACCAGCACGCACGGCAGCCGTTCGTTTCCAGGCCGATGGGACCGCGTCCGCAGAAACGCAAGGCAGGTGAGGCCAGGCGTACTATGCCGGCCCTGCCTCTCCCGGGTCCTGACTCCGGGCACTTGACGCCGATGAAAAAGGGGTGCGAGTGTTTTGAAAGGAAAAAGAGGTCCCCTCCCTCAACCAAAACACAGAACTTGGCCAACGAGCCACCGGGTCGACCCGCTGTTGGAACGCGAGATAAGGGCGTCTTTCAACGGCAAGACCCCCCTGACGGGACGGACGGGATGTGGGCACCCAGGGGCCCTGATGCCGCCGCCCGGTCGGACGTCGCCCTTCCCGAGCGTCGCCGAGGCGAGCGGGAGCCCCAGCCAAGGTCACCCTGAGGCCGCGGGCCGCTCACCTCAGCAGCGCCAGAAAGGCGGCGGGCTCCACGTCGGGCAGCTCGATCTCGGCGGACGTGGTGGCCATGCCGCCGTTGAACATGGCGTCGAAGACGGCGCTGCCGGCCGCCAGCACGAAGCGGTGCGCGGGGATCCGCTGCGGGCCCCCGGCAGCGGCGGAGGCGGCGCGGCCCTTGCCCAACACGAAGCGCACATCGCTCAGCAGCTCCGAGTTGAACAGGAAGGCGAAGCGCTCCTTCAGCGATGCCTTGGTTGCTTGCCAGTTGTACAGCGGCTCCCGCTGCAGGGGGAGCAGGGGCCCCAGAGGGGACGGCGGCGGTGGCGGGCCCGCGGCGCCCGCCTCCGCCTCGGACCCTGGGCTCTGCTCGCCCGAATCCGCCGGCCCGAGCGATGCCATCCTCCTGCGGCGCCGCTGCTCGGGCTACGGAGAGCGCGCCCGCCGCCCGGCCGCCATCGCCGCTCCGCCCCCCAGTCTTCCGGGAAATGCGCTTCCGGCAGCCGCGCGCCCCCGCCCGCTCGGAGCTGCCGCGCGCCCCCGCCGCTGGGGAGCGTGCGCGCGCGCGGCCAGGCCCCGCCCTAACGCTGCCGCACGTCAGAGGCGCTCGCTGCTCCTGCCTTTTCCATCCCTCCGGGTCCTCCTCAACAGCTCCTGCGCCCCGTGTGCCTGGGACAGGTCCCTGGGCTGTCCCTCGAGGAGTTTCTCACCTCGACGGCGAGAGAGCCGATGGCATGGCCAAGGGAGCCGATGGGAGGGAGGGAAACATGAGCTGACCCTCTACAACCTAGCGCCTTGCCTTTTCCTCTTGCTTTCTTCCGCTGTGTTTTTGAGTATCCGAGTGGACTCCTAGACTCTTTTTTTCTCTTTGTGTAATGTGTTGTAATCCATCACCCAAAGCTAATCGTATTTCAGATCTCAAAAGAAATCCTAAATTTACCAAAACAACAATACAGGCCCCTCGGTACCTGGCGTAACCACCTAGACCTAACAGACAGGTAGAGCCCACTCTGCAGCAGCAGCTGCATGCAGGGCCCACGCGTGGCACACGGAACATTCCCCAGGGTGGACCACGTGTGAGGAGACAAACTGGAGACGCCAGAGATTTTAAAAGATATTATGTAAAGCATCTTCTCTGACCATAATGGGATGAAGTTAGACATCAATTTTTTTTAAAAAAGGTAAACTGGGAAATTCACAAAATGGTGGAAATTGAACAACATATTTTTAAACAACCAAGGGATCAAAGAAGAAATCACAAGGAAAATTAGATAAAACATAGAGATAAACAAAAACAAAATCACAGCGGACCAAATGCAATGATAGCAGAGCTAAGGGGTGAATTTACAGCTACAGATGCTAACATTAAAAAAACATGATAGATCTCAAATCAACAACCTAATTTCACAACCTAAGGTACTAGAAAAAAGAATAAACTGAACCCAAAGCTAGCTGAAGGAAGGAAGGAATAAATATTAGAGCACTGATAAACAAAATAGAGAACAGAAAAACAATACATAAAATTGATGACCAAAAGGTGGTTCTTCCAAAAGGTCAACAAAATTGATCAATCTTTACCTAGATAGACTAAGAAAAAAAAGAGAGAAGACTCAAATTACTAACATCAGAAAGGAGAGTGGGGATATTACCACCTATGCAACAGAAATAAAAGGGTTATAAGAGAGTACTATGAACAATTATATGCCAAAAAATTTGGATAACCTAGATGAAATGGACAAATTCCTAGAAACATGACACAGTATAACTAGAAGACAGGTCAGTAGACTATGCCCAGATTGAAACACAGAGAGGAACAAAGGGCAGAAAATACAGAAAAGAATGTATGTCTGTTAATCATATGAGACAAAATTAAAAGAACCAGCATGTGTGTAATGGAGTACTAGACAGTGAGGAAAACAGTATCTAAGGAAACACTGGCTAGAAAGTCCCCAGAGCAAGTGTCCCAAGAAAACCAGGGGGAGCTGCATAGTTTTTTTCAGACCTAGCCTCGGAAGTCATGTTAAGGTCATAGGCACTGAATTCTATCGGCTACAAATGAGTTACTAAGACCAACCCAGGTTCAAAGCATGGGTGTGGGGGGCATATAGACCCCACCTCTCAGTGGCGTAGTATCAGAGAATTTGTGAACATGTTTTAAAACCGCTGCACTACTAGATCGAAATACAGCCGTATTCTATGACCCAGCCATTCCGCTCCTGGGTACGTATCCAACAGAAACCAGTACGTATGCCCACACCAAAGGGCAGTCCACACATGTGCATAGCAGCTTTATCCATAAGAAATGACCCAATGATTATCAATAGTAGAATGGATAAATGGTGGTGTGTATTCACGCAATGGATAAAAAAGAACAAACCCTAATAATGCAACAATATGAATTTCATAAATTTGTGGAGCCAAAGAAACCAAACACAAAGAAAACATCATGACTCCATTTGTATGAAACCACACAATAGGCAAAACTGATGCGTGGTGCTGGAGGTCAGGGTAGCAGTTACCTTTCGGGAGCTTGTCAGCTAGGAGGCTATATAAGGGGACCCTCTAGGATAACAGAAATGTTCTATATCTAGAACTAGTGGGTGTAGTTCTGGTTATTTATTACTGTGTAATAAACCAGCCCAAAACTTGATGACTTAAAACAACAATGATTTGTTTTTCTCATGCATCTACAACGTGGGCAGGGCTGGCGGGGAAGGCTCTGTCCCACCCAGGGCCATCTGGGGCGGCTTGACTGAGGGCTGGAGAATCCACTTCCCAGAAAGCTCACTCCCACTGCTAGCAAGTCTGTGCTGGCTGTTGGCTGGGAGCTCAGTGGGCATCGAGGGCCCAGGCCCTTGGCTGCTCTCCACACGAACCTCTCTATGTAATGGGGTTCCTCCCAGCATGGTGGCTTCAAGGGCAAGTGGCAGGAGAGACAGAGAGCCAGGAGGAGGCTTTATCTCCTTTTATGACCTAGCCTTGGTGGCCACACAGCCCGTTACTGCCGCACTTTATTTGCTGAGGTGTTCACAAAGGCCTGCCAGATTTCTAAAGGCGGGACATAGACTCTATGTCATTGTGAGAAAGCCACATGAAGTTGGGCCTATTGTTGAGTCACCTTTGGAAAAGGCAACTGGCTGTAGGTGTTTACATACATATAAATGTTTTAGCTTTATACTTGAGATACATGTCCTTTACTATGCATAAGTTATGCCTCAGTAGAAAAGTAAATGAAATGTGAAAAACTTGTAGAGGAATACACAGAGATAAATGTGGAAAGTAGACTGATCATTCTGGCCCTCCCTTCTCCTTAGAACCTCTCCACAGGAGTCACCTCATTTATCTGTTTGATAATCTTTTAAACTTTTTCCTGTACCCTGAAAACCAGTATCTATCTACCTAAACAAATATACCCCTAAATATCATTTTTAAAGAAATAAAAATGGTGTCATACTACACACATTTTTCTGAAACTTTCTTTTTTTTCCTTCACTTAGTACATTGTGGAAATCCTTCCGCACCAAGGGTTTGGGAGTGGAATGCTTTTAAGTGTTCCAAGAATAGACGCTACATAAGCTATTGAGAGTCTAGATGATGAACTTCCGAATTCATATTATGCAGCTGGCTTAACTCTGACAGCAAAACCTGACCAAGAGAGCTCAAAGGAAACTATCAGCCAATCAATCACAGGAGGGAACAATAAAGATCTTTGGAAGAACGTTTTTCGATATGAGAAAGGATCAATAACGCTGAGTGAAAGAGCAGGATACAGAACAAGATGCATACATTACCCTTCTGACATATGGGCTCAGACTACCCCATTTTGTTTAAGTGTCTGTATGATGTGTACAAAAGGCCGAACATTAATAACCACAGTTATTAATTTGGTATATTGCAAGGTGATGGGATTGTGATTCTTCCCACTTTTTATTACTTTTCTTATCTGAGGGTGGAAGAGAGGTTTTTCAGGGTTCTTTTCAAGGGAAAATGTTGTGAGCAGTTTTCCAGGGTTTTTTTCAAGGAAAAATATTGTGAGATTGGCCTATACATGAATTTTGAACGGACTCCCTTGTAAGCTCTAGCAAGGACGCCAGCACGTCTACACCCTAAAGTGCAGTTTATTCCTTTGACTGCCTCTGAAATGCTGTGAGGTGGCACCTCTCCTTTGACTCCATGCAATTTAACTCGGTTCCACACACATGCACATTCTGCACAAGGCACAAGGCGTGCGATAACAAAGAAGACTAGAACACAGTTCTCGCACCAAAGAAGCGAAATAAGGAGGGGGAAACCCATTATGACCTGTGCAGCCAGAAATAAAACTTCTTTCTTGGGTTAAAATATATATATATATATGCATCAGCCAAGGCAATTTGCAATACCCTAGACAAAGCTCAGCTGACTTACGGAGCTCTCCTTCTTGTGCTTGTCATTGCTCTTCGGAATTCAGCCTAAGAAAGTTGTATATGTCACCGTGTGTTGGTGTGTAAGTAGAACAAATGTGAGGACTTAGAAGAAACAGACCCACTGGCAAAAATAAATAAGTAAAAATTTAGTAAAACTCTTGAAAAGGCAGTCAGGAGAAAGAAGGAGGAAGAGCTCTACTTTGGAAATTATTTTAATGCCGTAGAAAGAGAAGACATTTAGAACAGACAAAAAGCAATTATCATGTCCTTAGGATTTTCTGTATTTCAGCAGTGCCTGACAATGTAGCTGCTAATGAGTTACCCTCTGTTTGAAAGGATGAGTATTGAAGGTATAAATAGATGCTAAAGGCAGAAAAAGACTCACGTGTCCAGCAGAGACTGATAAGCATGTGAAATAATACCCTCTCCTCTGAAGGCTGCAATGATGCCCGTGAGCCAAGTTTGAGCTCCAGGGAAGAAGGGAAGGAAAAGTCAGGAGAAACCAATATTTCCCTTCTCGCAAATCTCAGACCAGTCCACGCCTTCGGCAAATTTCGCTGTGATAATACTAGCACGCAGCAGTCTTCTCTTGGAGATGTCTGAGCCCACAGGGTATCTTTTTCTCCCAACACTTGACCTGTTTCCAGCTGAGCATTAACAACTCTTCAAAGAGGTGTGATTCACCTAAACCCTGAAAACCAACATCCCCCTCCCTCATTAGGGTCCAGTTTCTGAGGAGTTTTTCCTAAAGGCATGGCTCCGGAAATTAAAATGCAAGCAGGTAAAGGCCCTAACCACCCTGCCCCAGGGGGAAGAAGTTGGAAAATTTGCTGGTCGCAGTATTAATTAAGAGCAGGGCTTTGCAATCGGTTTATCTGGTTTTGAATCACAGCTTGGCCACTTAACTCTCTTCATGACCTTGAGCAATTTTCTTTGCCTCGGAGCGCAGCAATTTCCTTATCTGGAAAATGGGGATGATAATAGTGACTCCATAGACCTAAGAGGATTAATCGAAGATTGTATGAACACACACTGAGACAGGGCTTGATATGGAGTAAATGCTCGATAAATGTTCACAGTTATTCAAAGAAC